AAAATACATAATGTCATAGTCCTCGGTTACTCAAGGCATAATGTGCTTTTTTCAGAATTTTTATACTGTCGGTAAACAAGCCCATATTTACTGATAATTAAATGTGCATTTATAATGTTTTGGATTAAGTAAAATAGATATCTTTGGATTTCATAAATGGAAGCAAGGCACTGTGCTTAGGAGAGTCATAGTTGAATTATATTTGATTGCTTTGATCACTGGTAATAAAAAATTAGTTCAAATGGAGAAAAGCAAAATGTTGTTAAAATCAATTCCAGTTTCTTTTTTCTTTTTGAATGTGCTGCTTTCCTTTCTGACTGACAACCTTCTTCTTTAGATGTTTTGTTGGAGGGCTCCGTAAGCATACAAAATACCATGTGTCTGGGAAGTACTGGATCAGGTTGCAAAAGTTCTGTTATTGTTGTTTCATAAAATTCTATTTTCTAATTAGAGATGTTCATATTTAGTTAATAACTCAAGTACAGATTTTTCATCTCCTGAAACCCAAGAAAATTCCTTAAAGTTTGCAATCTTACATTTTATTCATGTTTTTGATGATATAATTCTTAACTGTTCCATGATGTTAGGCTAAATTTCAGTATTAAGCCTATAGTTCTATTGTGCTGTGGTAAGATATCTCAAGGGAAGCGCAACATGTAACTTGATAGTAGAGTATGTGATTAGTCTGTATGATTCTTTGGTTTTATTTTTGAATAATTATCTAACACCCTGGAAAATCTGGATTGGTTTAACTAGCAGCTTCTGGTTAGCATAGAAACCTAGCATTAACGTAATGTTAATTGAAATTAAAAGTACTCTTTTTTAGTATTGCTTCACATTTGAAAAATAAATACTTTTCATTTCAAATGTATGATGAATTATTAAAATACATTCCTGCCCATTAAAAACAGAAGTCTAAAGAAAGTATTTATGTGCATATTATTTCAGTGTGTATTGAATCTTTAGTTGATTCTCCAGAATATTTTCATCGTAACAATTATATGTTGGAATTATTTTTATATGATTTTTTTATTAGGTTAGTAGTGAATTTTGAAGTTCTGCTTATAAAAAGCAGGGTGTTTGTTGTTTTAGAGCTTCACCCTATATGTCATGATACCTTGGGGTGTTCCACCAAACTCACAGGGGGTGGCACAAAATATTTTAAAATGTCAAGGGAAACACTCCACATCTATCAGATACCACACAAACTGCTTAAGGTAGTTCACACTTTCGGCCTAATGCTCCTTGAAAAAAATTACTGAAGCATCTAAGGATGCCTTCAACCAAGAAAGTTTTGAGAACCTTTGGCCTGATGTATTCTGGAGTTAATGAGCAGGAAAAAAATAAAATTATTGGTTTCTAAAGTATAGTGAAGTGTGTTATCAATACACATCACACTATAAAGTATTCGAGTTAATTAGATTTCAGTGGATGCATTGGTGTTGAATAGTGTATGATCAGAAATAAGGAGAAATAAATCTGTTTATTATTATTATAAAAATAAAATTGACAAACACTTTGAAAAAAGTGCTTTTAATCCATAAAAGTTTCAAAGT